ATCTAATCTTTTAAGTAGACTAGTTATCTGCCTAAGCAGACTATCTACTTATCTTACATCCATCAAGGGATTAGTAAAAGGCAGTATTAAGGCAAGTGTCTCTATTCACCTACTAACAAACGAATGACTAGGTATCTGCCTACACTAGACTTTAACTCTCTTTATCTCTATCCTCTTATACCCAGCTTTACAAATCTCTAACTTTAATAATTAAAATTCCAGCGTCTATCTCCTAGTAGAAGTCTACTTCTGGGTCTTGCTGGTCCAGATTGGTGTGCCCTTGTAAAGAACAACGTTACCATCATTCTGCACGGCACAGATGACGGTGCTGTTGCTGGTAGAGCCGACCGTGTTGGTATGCCAGACAGGGTTGCCATTGTTATCACTGCACATAACCTTCTTATCAGCCACAACAAGGCTCTCTAAATAAAACACAACATACTACTACAAGGCCGAGAAAGAAGAGGACGAAGAAGAAAAACAAACTTACTACATGCATAAGTTACCGTCCTCCTGCATCTTGATACCCTTAATGTCAGAGCGCTGCGCGGGCGTGTTCTGGAACCGGCACTGGCCGCCCCAGTATACGGCGATCTTGCCATCGCCCTGCATCTTGAACTCGACCGAGCCGTCCTGGCTAAACAGGCTGCTACCCACAAGCAGCCACTCGCCGTTACCGAGGGTGTTGTGCGACATACTAAATGAGGGCTTAGGGATGTAAAGAGTAGGCTGTTTCAGGCAAGCCAAGTGTGTAAAGGGTAATTTAATAAGTTAATTGTCTACGTGTCTTTCAGGGCTCAAGTGCTAAGATATAAAGCACAGAATATTAGTTCGTTAGGGAGGGAATACAGCCTCGTTTATATACTGCGATATCTGCCGAGCAGCTTAATAAGGTGTGAGGTGTGAGGTTTTGGGGTGTGAGGTATGAAGTTGTGATGTGTAAGGTATAAGGTGTGGGGTTGTGAGGTGTGAGGTGTGAGGTTGTAAGGTGTGAGGTTGTGAGGTGTGAGGTGTGAGGTAGTAAGGTTGTGAAGTTATGAGGTGTGAGGTGGTGACGTAGTGTGAGAGTTTGACCCCAGTCACATATATGATTCGTCAGATCTCACGATAACTTCGCCGCTCAGGTGCCCAATCCTCGGCTCCCCGAGAAACCTCTGTTAATACAGACCATGTTAGCTGTCGAGCTCTTGGAATTGTAACGGGTGGTGAGGGTGCGAGATGTGATTCATCCGACCCTTGTACATGTGTCTTTACAGTTGTTCCATCCACGCCACAACGCTGTAGCCTACTTTGCCGTTTTTCATCGACGCATTTACGAATATCTGGACTTCTCTCCCTTGCGCGTCTAAGCATCTTTTCACGGTTTCTTCTCTGTCTGGGAGGACGTCCACCCTCTCCTTTTGCGGCTGTTCCTACGAGGCGGTTATAAAAGTATCGATGGTCTCCATGTTTGTTAGGAGCCCCGGCAAGACTTTGTACTAGCTATTCGGCTTCGCTAATGCTACTTTATCCAGAAATTCCCATATCAAGTTGGCTGGGAACGTGTCAATTGATCAAAATAGCCCACTTCCGATTAGCGATGAGTTTTATTCTGCTAGAATCTAAGCTTAAAGAGAACTAGTACACTACGTCACATGACCACGTTTCTCCCGATACCGGCCCAAACAAGCACTTCGCATCCCACCCCCACGCCTCAGGCCTTACACGTATACCTAAACTCTCACAGCCTCACACCTCACAACCTCACACCTCACACCTCACACCTCACAACCTCACACCTCACACCTCACAACCTCACACCTCACACCTCACAACCTCATACCTCACAGCCTCACAACCTCACTCCTTATGCCTTAGCTATGTTGCAGTTAGTTGAAATGGAGCTCATTTGGAGCTCCGGATATACACCCAGTCAGCAGCCGCAAATGGGCTCTGAATTTCATCAACTTCTCGACCAGCAAGCGCTTAGTGTGCCTAATCTACCCCCAAACCAAGGATCAAATGAAGGCGGAACGTTTGCACAAAAGCGTCCTGGGTTTGGCCTGTTTCCTGGATGCCTCCCAGCGCTGAATGCACCCGATTCACCCCCATACGAAGGATCAAATGAAGGAGGTATGTAGTTTGCGCTAGTGGACCTCATATGACTAATACTTTGTTCAAGCTCAAGCTGTTGCCTGGAGAAGGCCCGCAAGGAACAGACGGGTTCCGTGCGATGTGTGTGGGGAATGGGTGACAAAGGCCGCACTTACCAGACACAAAATGAGCCGGCATAGCGAATACCGCCCTCACGACTGTCATTACTGCCAAAAATCCTTTCTCCGGAAAGACCTTCGTGACAGACATGTTAAGAGTGTTCACCAGGACTCCTTCATCACCACACCCACCGCAACTGTCACGCCGGCTACACCGGCCGTATACTTGCATGGCAACGGCGGTATCCCTGAGCAGAATCAACGGAGTTCCCCGATAGACTTAACTATAGGTGAGGATGGTTGGCCGGTTGGCAGTGAATATAAAGGAAATACAATGGCTGATTTTAGAAGTTTCTTTGGCCCTACTCCCTGTTCTTAGCGGTCTTGAAAGGAGTCTGTAAGACTGAAGCATATGTTGGTCTTGTGGCTCTTGCTGACGTAGTCAGTAGAGGTTGGGCTTGTGGTGGCATTGTCGGTTCTTGTAACTCAGATTCTAAGTTGAGCTCTTGCATCGGCTGTGCGTCAACAGGGCTGTTCGAATGTGATGGGGAGTTAGCCGCTAGCAATAACATATCTGTGACGGACGTGACCTGGAGAGCAAAATCCCCCAAGTAGAGCTGCATGTCTCAAAGCATGCCTGCCGATAGGAGGTCTTCCTCATGTTGCTCCAGCAACTCTTTCATAGTCTGTCTATCTCGGTCCTATTGTGACCCTCCGACCCGCAGGCGAAAGAGTGGACGTTGTCGTGTCTTTCGTCCAAGGGTGGTGGTAGAATCTAAGCCTGGTCAGCTGTTGTGGTGTGATGGTCATATGAGGCCATTTCCGAAAGGAGAGCACTCCAGACGAGGTTGAAGAGAAGGCAGTGGAGATGTGGATGATCTTGATGTTTGCTCGTTGCAGTGTCGATTTCAGTTATGGTTGTTGTGGAAGAAATGGCTTAATTGTGACGAAAGGGGTGGCAATCCATTTAGAATTAATGGTTTCAGGTTAGACTGAAAGGCCTCTGTGGGATCTCTTCTCTGTGATTCCTTGCGCTGACATTTTTCCTCCCTAAGTGGTTTTAGCCGGTCGATTAAATCTTGTAAGTAGCCTTCTTAAAACAATTCAGTAGTCAATCATATATGCCTCTACTAAAATAGATCCTTCGCATATACTCTGGGGCGCAGCTCACTACCAAGAACCTCCTGTAAACCCAGCTGATGACCACGCAGAATCAAAGCAAATCCATTTTAACCATTTCCGCCACACGGAGTACTGGCCAACTAAAACAAAAATGACCTTAAACCATTAGAGAATGTATGGAAACATTATAGCAGGTGAAGACTAGCAAGATAATGAATAAATCCGTGAGTTTTTTTTAGTTCAGAAATTATGGAATGATGTTGCTATTCATTAGAACGCAGTAATATAACTGGCCTACATGCTCTATTGTCTTATTACTACGGGTGAAGTGTCGGTGTCATATTTTGGCCTGTTAAGACTCAGTATTAGCGGGATTGTGGGGGGACTGGTGTGCTTACCAGATTCTGGAATTGGAAATATATATCCTCGTGATTATCAGCTAAATGGTCCACAAGGTTGTCCCAATGCGAGAACAGGATGCGGCATCCCACAAGTGGACAAAGATAGGACCTGAGAGTTTGATGTACATTCTTCTCATGCCGCTTGAGATTAAAAGGAGTTGAAAAGTATTTTAAGCAGGTTTCGCAGCGGAAAGGTCGTTGTTCGGTAGACGCGTTACGAGAAGGATGTTCATCAGCTGGAGTGAGGGCCGGTTCATTTGGTAAACGGCTCATCCTCCTACAAACTTGTTCAATTCGTCTGTTGAAGCTGTAATTCGCTAGGTGCAGCAGCAAGAGGGAAGTCCAGAGTTACCACACAGTTTATGGCAGAGCTAAGCTGTCTCAATGGTCGGCTGTCCTCACGGTTATTTTCTGGCTCGGGATGCATTAGTTTGCTCAATGAAAGACTGGCATGAGGCCTTCCATTATCACTTACTTTAAGCTGCTTCTGTAGTCTTCGCATCTAAGGACTTTAGCTTCCCACTATGCAAAGCTTCTCTTTAGACCTTCTACCCCTGTTTCGATTTCCAGTTTCGCCGCTGTTATAGGAGGTACGCTACAAAACTTAAATAGTAAGAGAATCCCTTAATTCGCGCGTGTGATGCGAGACAAGTTCGATCTTTTTAGGACTTGGGAACGAGTAGCCGGGGTAACTTTGAGAGTGAGGTGATAACACGATGAGGGACAGGTACTGTTGGCTAGAGAAAGCATATAGAAAAGAGTTCGCCTTGCAGTTAGTACCTATAATAACTTAATACTTAGTAAGGAGCGTCCAAGCTACGTGGCAAATAGAGGCAAGTGGATCGTTCCCTTTGTAGGCACACCCAGCGTGGCCAACAGTACGTAGTACGTTACGTTTAAGCTTTTTTCTGCTAGTAACTTCTTAATTTAGTAGTACTTTTGTACATAAGCAGTAAATTAATTAGCAAGTACATAATATAACAGTAACTTCTTAAAATTCTTATACTTTTATACTTTTTATAAGAAGTTTTGTTAGTCTAGGTTAAAATTATTTTAAGAGAAGCTTTTTAGCCTAAATAAAGTCCTCTAGAGTAGTTAATTTACTTTTTATAGCCCTATAATATAACTAGTTCTTTTAGAGCTCTAGAGCCTTAATTATATAACCTGCTAAGCAGTTTCTATTAATTATAACTGTCCTTCTACTTCTAAAGAAGGCCCTCTTACAGTCACAGCTTATTAAGAGTATAACGTACTTCATGGGCGAGTTGCTCACACACCTGAGTGGCTTACTTTTGCCAAGACCCTACTAAACTACTCTTCCTACACTAATGCATTCCCCACAACACTACTTAGACGCGCTAAAAGAATGTTAGATACAGCTTGCGCTCTAAGCTTTTAAATAAGACATAAAACTCTTAAAAAAATGTGCTGTAGCTATGTGTAAGGTCCTATAAAAGATAATAAATAACTATAGCGCTAGACAACTTTTATAAGCTAATTCTACAGCTAAATTACAGAGGCTAGGTAATAAAAAGGAGCAGGTGATTGTTAAGACTATACTTAAGCTATATGCGCGAGGAATTTCCCCTTAGATAGCATTTATAGCTAATAACGTACTTCATGGGCGAGTTGCTCTGTCAGATATGCGCACCTACTGTCAAGACAGGAGGAACGTTTGACGAAAGCTGCTACATAGTACGAGCAATAAGCTCGAACAGTATGTTGCCGCAAATTGCTGCATTTTGCAGCATTTTGCAGCATTTTGCATCATGTTGCAGCAAATTGCAGCATTTTGCAGCATTTTGCAGCATGTTGCAGCAAATTGCAGC